CTGCGGGGGGGAGGGCGAGGGTTAACGACGGGGTCGAGGAAAGCAAAGAGGAAATCCAAATGTTCTCTCGAGTGAGGAAAGTGCAGGGAAAAAGTGTGAAATGAAAAGAAACATATTAATAATAAAGGAATGGTTTATAAGATTCTTTTTCTACACACATACGCATTATGAAATACAACAATCCCACGTTCCTTGCAGTCATAAACATTGATGAAACAAAACAGTGATGAAGCATTTTTCCAAAAAAAAAGGTAAACAATAACACGTACCCTCATAGAGACCCACAGTAAACAACCCAAGTAAACAAAGTTAACAGGGTAAATATTGCCGCCTCCCCCTCTCTCGCCCCAGGTATTTACTGGTAATAACAGGGTTGCTGACACGACACCTCAATAACCAGCAATAACAACCCGTAATCATTTGTGGCAATTGCTAATCATCAATCCAGGCGTAATGCGATAGACGCGTTGGCTCCCTCCCCCTGCCTCCCCCTATGCGAAGTCAGGCATTGGTCAGATATTTTTGAAAAGCGTAAAGAAAATGACGTAAATTACGAAGACAAATATGATGAAACAAAAGAAAAGACTAAATGAATAATCAAAATAAATAAATTAGTGCGAGATAGATTAATTATCAATCAATATATAATTATTATTATATAAAATAAACTAAAATATGAAAATCAATATGATAGTTTAACCGTGGAGCAAATATTTGTTTGGTTGCCTTCACTATCTTGTTTCCTTCGCCTGGGAAACGAGCTTAATGAGAGCTTCGCACGCAGACTTCTTTTTCCGAGCATCTCAGGCATAAATTTCACCGATCTAGTAACAAATATTCATGACATTGCCCTTAATTGAGAGTTCACATTGAGATATGACGCATGTCGATTTTTTTCTTTTTTCTTTTCTTTCTTTTTCTGCTCGCACGCAGAAGGCAAATTTCCGAGCTAATATTCAAGCGAAGGTGAAGGGATTTCCGGACTTTTCCTCGCGTCTCCGGCTGGAAAAGGATCCTTTGGACAAGAGGGTCAAGGAAAGCGGAAGGATAAGGCGGGTTAAGACTTTCTACCCACAAGCGAAGACCAATACCAGGGGCTAAGCCTTGGCAGGAGGGAGGGGGGGGGGTGGCGGGGAGGGCAGGGTGTTTGCCTTCCTCACTTGCAAAGGAAAAGCCTTGCAAGGTGCGCCCGTGTGTGTGTAAATTACTAAGCTTGCACGAACCTCGGATGATACCGGGCAAAGAAGACGCTCGCAGAAGGAAGGGAGAGAACGAAAGAAAGAGGGGAGGAGAAGGAGGAAGAAAAATAAGTCCTTTCCTTGGCGTTGGCAAAGGTGTCCTTCGCTCGCACGCGGTTCGTCCCAACACTTAATTTGGGGATTCCGAGGCTGAAGCTCCGGTGAGGCAAACCCAACTTCCTCTTATCTGTCACGTCAGCCAAACATAAAATTCTATTTTGGGTTCACTCAGCGCATAAAGACAAAGTCATTACGAACCAATCAAGTTCTTCAAAGTCAACCTCCTCCTGCAGGTTATTTGGTCATTAAGGTTGAGTCAGCGTCAGTAAACACAAGACTCGAGGCTGATCGAGGAGCGGGTAAATCGTACTCCTTTGGCCTTGGCTCTTCACCTTGGGCCTCTCGCGGCTGAAGACGATCCGCGGAGTTTGCGGAAGGCGAGGCAGTCTTACGCGGAGGAGAGAAGTTCCTTCATTTCGGTGCTATAAAGGGAACTGTGGAGTAAATTAGTACATTCCACTTTTTATTATACGTAGTTCGTAGGGTTTATTAATACCATGTACGATTATTAATACTGCTTTAGTGAATGATACTTTCTAAAATTTTGATTACGAGAACTAATATCTTAATTTGCACGAGCAGCAGGTACCGACCCAAAGCAAACCCAAAGAAAAAAAAACGAAACGATAACTTTAGAAGTTCTTAAGTCCTGGTCTCACAGAACGGCTTGCGTAAATATGGAATATTCCTTCAACTTTCTCGGGAATATTCTCGGTTTTCAAAGGTGAGAGAACCGATGGCACAGACCGTGAATCTGAGAGCAGAACGCAGGGGGGCTCCTATAACGGGAGCTTTGGAACTCGTAAAGAGCTTACAGCGGCGGTCGTAGAAGCAGCCTAAGCGACGCTAGTCCATCATCGCCACCGCCAGCCTCCGCACGCTGCTGCAGCGTCTCAGCAGAGGCAGCAGACAGCGGCAGAAAGGTCCGGACGTCCCGCAGTATAAAGGCATTCATCGCAATGCAGTCTGAGGTACTTGGCCCGCCATTGGCGATTCCTCGACCGGATTTAGCCAATAAGAAATCAAAGTGTTGAAGCCAGGTGGGGCTCTGATGGGCCAATCATTCACAGTATTGGCCAATAACCGGTGGAAATTGGTATCGGAAGTGGCTTTGCTTGGTAAAGTGGCCGGGCCTAAGGTACCAGTGCACTACCTGCCGTGACTGTTGACACAAAACTTCGTCCATATCCACTTCCTTTTACTCTTTGTTGTTCTTTACTACTTTCCCCATCAAGAGTCAACGTAGCAAAATGCTAATTAACAACTGGAAATTAAACTATAAACAAATACATAAATAAACATTAGAATAATAAAAAAAAGTTCTCCCGTGGTGTTCTGTGATTTGCAGCTTCATCTCGCAGTCAATATTTCGATTAATCACGGAACTGGAAATTGCATTTCTCTCTCTTTTTGTGCCTCTGAATAATGGAACGGAGGCTGCGAGCTGTTCTGACTGGGGGGAAACAGAGGACAGGGAGACAGGAATAAGCGAGGGAGCAGTAAATGGGGAGAAAAGAAGAGAGATAGGGCCGGAAAATTGAAAATCGTGGGACAAAGAAAATGGAAAATACCCACTGCAAAAGGAAAGAAAGAAAGAAAAAAAAACGAAACAAAGGCCAAAGGCTATCACTTCCATCTTTCCTACACAGTAAGAAAAAAAATGTAATTGCTGCTAGAGCTTGTACGCCAAACTCTGTGCAGACAAAAGCACACGTTTGTCGAGGTACTTAGCAACACACTTTACACAGTAGTACAACCTTCCCTCTCCCTGTCCTTCCTTGTTGGAGGGGGAGGAGGGGGGGGTCTTCCATTGATCGTTATCCCCCTACTCTCCCTCTCCCTCTCTTTCTCTCCCTCACCCTCCCTCCCTCCCTGCCTTCCATCACGCGCTGCAGTACTCGTGCACTCCCCCCCCTCCTCCTCCTCCTCTTTGCCTTCCTACCATTCATACATGCATTTCCCTGCTTCTTATTCTAATCTGTTCTCATATTCTCGTCCATTTGTCTTCATCTTCTTCGTCTGACGTTTGAATATTTCTATCCTAAACCAGCCGGCCGGTTTAGTATTCTGAAACCCTAAACTCTGGAGGGTCAGAAACCCAGCGCTTGTTTCAAAGTTTAATTTGAACTCCGTCTATTCTCCCTCATATACTATGCGATTCCCTTTCACCGTCCATCCCTCAACTCCGATCCCTCTATATTTCCCCTTTCTATAAAATGCACCCTCTCTCTCTCTCTCTCTCTCTCTCTCTCTCTCTCTCTCTCTCTCTCTCTCTCTCTCTCTCTCTCTCTCTCTCTCTCTCTCTCTCTCTCTCTCTCTCTCTTTCCAATTTCTCCTCTCAGTACTTTTTTTTTTCTTCTCCCCCCTATCACTTAATTCATTTGTCATCCTTCAAAGAAGATTTAGTCTTTACAACAAATTTCCGTATTCAGTTAATCTTCAAATCTAACAGAAATATCATGACGTCTGGTGAGAGTAAATGTTTATTCATAGAAAACAGATTGACAGGGATAACTACTGTATTTCAAACACCAGCTACTGTTACGAATGCGACTGGGATGGTAACTCCTCGTGCTCTCTCATGTTTTCTCAATCTGTTCTTGCTCTCCTCCATTCCCTGTCATTAAACATGATTCCAGCAGTGAATAAAGTAATATGTTGGCATCTGGATGGTCGCCGCAAAGAGGTCTGTGACACCCAATCAAGGCTAGCATTCTGTTCAGTAATTAGGTGTCTTCATCAGCCAATCTGGAGTGGCTCGGGCGAGATTGGGATATAGTGTTTTATTGTTTTTCTCCCTCTTTCACGTTACATTTCTTCTAACTTGGCTTTTATGAAATTCTATTTTGTTCGGTGTTTACGGTATTCACGCAACAAAGTCTGCCTGATCGATTGTCAAGTGGCAGTTTCACTTATTGGTTTCCCAATGGGGTGATTTTTCTTCACCCGTTTAACATCAAGACCACTTGCTGTATAATCTCCGAATCAAACCCTCGGTACTATATTTGAATTAAAAAACATTCCTGATATTTTAACGGTAAGTTTTCTACATTACTGTTCATTTTTTTAAACTATACTTGTGCAATAAATACCGAAGAATAGTTCACGGATATTAATCCCCAATATCGGTTTCATTCCTGTTGGCGAGGGAGGTGTATGAGGCGTCCTGTCCCATAAGCCTCTCGGCGCCTGGTCCCATCCCGCCGTTTGTCTCGAGAGCCAGCGAGCGGCGTCTTTCTAGACCTAATATAGCCCCGGGTGTAAGTCACGAGCGCCGGGCCTCTGTTCGGCGGAAGGGGAGACGGACGCCGAGGGGAACTCGCCACATAAATCACCTCGTCGGGCCTTTCCCTCGCGACTCTCGCTGCGTTTCGCTCGCCTCGTCCCGTTCCGAGCGCCTCCCTCCCTTCTTGTGGCGTCGGGGGACGGATGGCTACAACTGAATTAGGGTCGGCGTCGCAACTAATCCAGTTTAATCAGGGAGAAAATAACTACATCATGTATGCCTCGATGTTGACTGGGATGTGGCTGTTCAGATTCAATGAGTCGCGAATGCTTGTTTCAAAAGATGGTACCCCTTTCTTCGCGCATTTTTCTTTCGCATACGCTATTAACAGCATATTTTTTCGTACTAGTTGTAAGAAAAAACACTGAGATGAAATTCCAGAACGCCGCTGAGAGAGAAACAATACACAGCAAGAC